AAGACCTTTTACATCCATAAGGCATGTATTGCCTTCAATGAGTAAGCGTTGTTGTAAAGAAATAAATTTAATATGAAGAATTTAAGAGATTATGTTATCTTCATAACAAATGTGAAAAGATTTTTAAACCCTTAAGGTATTAATTATAATATTTTGATTGAAAAGTCATGAAATTTTTTTAAAATGAGTAAAAAGATAGGATGAGAAGTTAAAATTATTTTAACTAAAAGAAGTTAATTGCTTTTTCTAAGAATAGCCTCTATTGTCATGAGGTTACTTGTATGGCATTTTGTGTATTAAACCTTTTCTTTTTGTAAAAAAAGAATCAAATGCAGCTGTATGGAAATCACTGCTCAAAATTAACTTTTTTTATTCTATTTCTTAGTGAATTATGTAGTTGGAAGCTGATGTCACAAGTATCACACCAATCGTAAGAATTAATTAATTATCAGTGGCACTTAAACGAGCTGTCAACAAACTTAAGAAACATGGCTGGAGTTGAATCTGAATAAGTTGAAATGAATGATAAGAAATAGACAATCTTTGCCAGAAGACTTTTATACAAAAATTTTTTTTCTAAATAAACTCATCTTCATCTAATTTTAGTATTTTTCATTGTTAATAATAGAGTTTTATAGGAAAAGTTTCAAATTTAATAGAATATAGACCTATTAATTATTAATCTATTACAAATTCTTACTAATAATCAAGTTTCCTTTAGAAGTTGCCAATTTAACTCTTCATTTGAAACATTATTTGTCCAAATTTTTGAAGATAAATATGTAGACTTCCAGAGGGGAGATTTTAATCTTTTATTAATTTTGAAGTTGGTAAATTCAAATTTGACTATTTCTTATGCTATATCTCGTAAATATCTTAATGAACCACGGTTTTGTTACATCTTAATTTTCTTTATTTAGGCAACACACAAATTTCTTTTGCCTTTTGATGAAAATCTTTACATAAAATTATCCTTCTCTGATTTCAGCATATAAAGTTATTTCTTTAATCCATTTTAACCTAAAAATTAGATTCTTGCTAGTTTTAATGATAGGGTCCTTTTCCTTAGGCCTATAGTAATCTACTTTAAATACTTAGCTTTGGTCTTACCTCAGAAGGCTTAGGGGGACGCACCTCCCTATGTACCCCTCTTCAGATTACTTTTAGAGAAAAGGGAAAAATCGAATGCATTGCTGAGAAGAGAAAATAGCATAATAACCATGCGAATACCTACACCTTTAATTGTTTTAACTTTAGAAATTGTTCTGTATATCCTTTTGACTCTTAGATTTTTCAAAGGGAATATATATCTATTTACCTTTAACTCTTAGTTATCAAAAAATAAAATAGTTAAAAGATATTTTATATGTATTTGTAATGTGTAAATTATAAATAATCAACCTCTTGATTATTTCTATTCAATTTAGCTTTCTAGAATATAACTTCCTTTTAATTTTAATTATGATTTTCAATCTACTCCTTAATTATTGATAAATTCTCCTTTCAGAATTAAAGCTCCTTATGCTTCTAAATTTGGATGTTAGGAAATTCGTAAATAGTTATACTAGAAGTAGCTAAGTAATAGTAAAAATAAATACCGCTCTCTGAAAAATTGTTATTTGTAAGAATGGGGAGTTTAAATTATGCCAAGATTTCTTTTTAACTATCATCTGAAGGTAAATATTGTTTGCCTGTCTTAAAATCCCATAAACGGATAGAGGGATCATAACTACCAGATGCTAATATAGTACCATTAGGAGAGAAACAGACTGATGCAACTGAACAAAAATGACCTTTTAATTTAGCTT